TATATATATATATATATAAATGAACATAAAGAGCCATGTAAACCTACCGATGTTTCACCTATACGGATCGTCAGGGTCAACCGTAGTTACTTTTGCTTTACTCGTTTTGTTTTTTTTTTCTTTGGGCTCTGGGCTTGAATTCTGGAAGATTGTTTTCGCCTCAATTTCATGGTCTTCTTTCTTTTTTTTTTATACCTGATTTTCCCTTGGGCATTGGTTTGTTCATTTACAAGCCAAAATACCGAAGCTTTTTCCAAACGAGTACATATATATATATATATATATATATATATATATATATATATATATATATATGTCCTATGTTCTTTCACAATATATTATTATCAAGCTCAAGCGTCCATGATCAAACAGCCCCAAATTATATGGGCTGGGATCTTGGACCGCCTCGACGATTTCCGAAGGAAGTTCTCCTTGGAGAACTTGTGATTGGAATGCGCTTGTCCTGCAAACCCGATAATCGTTATAATGACAGTTTCAAAGACTTAACCTCCTGGGGACAATCTGCGAACCAGTGAGTCCATTAGCAAAGTATTATTGAAAGATAGAATGATATAAATGATTTCAGGAGGATGTATATTTGTCCTTCAGTGATGAAATGGGCTACAAAGAAAAATAGAAATTGCTCAAGAAATGAAGGCATATTTAATTGTGAGATATGTGATCGGGTATAGTTATCTAAAGAAGGCCATATCAAACAGCTAAAACCATTGAAAATCATCAGAATTTGTACGATTTTAATGTTCAGTAAGGTTTGACATGCAAGAAAAGAATTAATAGATTTATTTTCATTACATCAAAGTTTATTACGGTGCACGCTTCGGATTTACGTTTGAAGTTATAAATAATTCAGATTACAAATAAATCTATTAATTCTTTAGAAATATATATATATATATATATATCAATTAAAAAAAAACATCGTCGTCGTCAAAAGTGCCGTCAGTGAAACACCGATGGACGAATGGTTCGAAATCAGATAGGTCTACAGTCACATGGCGCTTCACGGTCTTCTTGTGTTTGTTCAAACCATTTTACTAAACCCGCAGATCGAAGTGTGGCGGGAATGGGGTATATACTTTCTTCGAGACGACTTGCGAAGTGGATTTGTTTTTCAGGTTACCTTCTTCTAACCGCGTCTCTCTAAAGCAGCAGGAACCAAAAAGCCAGCGGGTGGTTTTGATTTCAAAGTTTTCATTCTCCTAGACTGGTCGCTAAACAAGGCTATAGCACCCAAAGACCGCAATGAACTTGACTGAAGTGGTAGGGCCTACAAGGCAGCAGGTGGTTTTGATTTCAAAGTTTTCATTCTCCTAGACTGGTCGCTAACCAAGGCTATAGGATTTGAAATAGACTTTATATTAGGGCCTCAAAGGCAGCAGGTGGTTTTTTTTATTTTTTTTCATTCTCCCAGACTGGTTAATATTTTTAAATAGGACCCAGGAAATGAACTTGACTGAATGGTAGGGATAAAGGCAGCATTGGTTTTGATTTCAAAGGACTAGAAAATAATTAACCAATTATGGATATAGACCAAATGAACCTGACTGAAGATGGTAGCGTCTATTAGCAGGTGGTTTTGATTTCAATTTCATTCTCCTAGAAATTTAACCAATAAAGGAGAGTCTGTCCTACAATTTACACATAGTGGTGGGGTGGGGGAAGAAATGAATTCTTATATTTCCCAGGAGTATTAGAGCGTAAGTGACTGCAATCACCTATTAGAGAATATTTTATAATTATTTTTTTTCTAATTTTAAAAGGGTAATTGAAAGATAACATCAAAAATAATAATAATTATAATATAATATAATAAGATATAATAAGATATGAAAAAATAATCATTAATTAATTAATAAAATAATGAAGAAAAATTATCAAATAAATTTAATAAAAAATTATTATATATTAAATATAAATTAATAGGTAATATATATAAGGTAATAAATAAATGACTTAACAAACCATACTTACGTGAAATATAAGTGAAATATAAAATTTTTTAAATCCGAAAAAACCCTTTAATAAATTTGAATATAAATTAACTATAAAATAAAAATAAATTAATAAAAAACTTAATCTTATAAAAAGTAATTTATTGTTAAATATGAATATAAATATTAAAGCTAAATAAAATATAAAATATATAAAAACTACAATTTAAACAAAATAAATAATAAGAATTTAAAAAATAAATAAAAATAATAATAGAAAATTAATGAAAAAATTAAAGGAAATAATCCTAAATAATTTATGAGCAAAATCAAAAAATTATAATAATAATAATAATAATAATAATAATAATAATAATAATATGGTTGAATAAAAAATCGTCACGATATAGTGGGCTTATAATTTTACTTACATAATAATACAAAACTTTGAAAAAAAATGTGTGGTCAAAATATATTATGAAAATTGTTAGCGCCGGTTACAGAAATAGAAGATGTCACCATTCTAAGGATTATACCATAATAAGACAGAAAATTGAAGAAAATAGGCTGACAATAAAAAACCAGAAAAAAAACTAAAATTAATAATAATAATTGTCCAGCGGATTGTAATATAGCAGTTAAAAAGGAATTTGAAAAACTATCAAAATAAAAGACCTGGAAATTGAAATAGAAAAAATGTGGAAATTGAAAACAAGAATAATACCAGTGGTAATAGGTACTTGGAATTATAAAAAATGGAACAAAACAACACATTGAAAAATAAAAAAACCCCAGCATTAAGAGACATACAGAAAATTGTCTTATTAAGTACAGCACACACACTAAGGAGATTTTTGTCTATGTAACGCTAGCAACTTCATCGGAAAAAAAAAAAAAAAAAAAAAATTAACATGAAATATAATATAACAACACACCACGACCTGCCTTAGGTCTTTATATAGACTTGGTAGGTAGTGTGTCCATAGCAGAAATAATAATAATAATAATAATAATAATAACAATAATAATAATAATAATAATGTGGCACATAGGAACATCAACAATCCCTGTTATAGTTTGAGCCCTCGGATTGGTTGAAAAAGGTTTCAGTAGACTAATTGAAGGGATTCCTGGAAGTCCATGCCTTAAAGAAAGACAAAAAAATGTTCTCATGAGCACAACCCACACCTTACGAAGTGATTTATCTAAGTATTGTGTGTGTGTGTGTGTGTGTGTGTGTGTGTGTGTGTGTGTGTGTGTGTGTGTGTGTGTGTGTGTGTGTGTGTGTCAGTGGAAAATATCATGATGCCATTTGTAACCTTAGGTCTCTGGGCAGGACCCGGAATAATGAAATTTGTACACACCAGAAATGAAAGGAAATAATATAGGTGGGAGGTTTCACTGAAATTATTTTTTTTTTTACCAAAAATTTCAGAATTTCGCGGGAAGTTGAATTGATCAGTAACATCAGGATGTCGTAATCTACACGTATTATTGATACATTTCGCATCAAAGTTGAGAAAGCCTATGAAAACTGACCTCCAATTCAAATGAACCAGTCTCGGATTAACAGACAATTTCACATTAATTGATATCGATTAGCGATGACAGTATTAAACTGCTGTTTTAGTCTTCCAAATAGGGAAGCACTACTTCACTAGACTAACCCAAACCTCTTAAATTGATTCGATCGTCGACTTCTGGCAACCGTAGACATTACTCTCATTACTACATCTAAACAACAGATCGCTCCTTCCTAGCAAGACGTACAAAAAAATGTCCTAATGCTAATAATAGAATTTCAATAAGAAATTCCCAGTAAATCTTTTCAGAAGTGTGAACGCATGTAAGATAAAAACTGTTTGGAAAAGTCGGCCTCTGAGAAATTAATATTTGCATTGCACTCCGATAAAATGGTCTCCCTTGTTCATATTTCGATGTCTATTCCGAACACAAAGTATGTGATTCAGAATGTTAATATAATGTTCGGAACCAATTCCTGAGAAATTAAGAAAGAATTCTCGCATTTTATATTAAAGTTGGATCACAAGCAAACGTATACTTTGTAGGAAGTTGGAATTTACGTTACAAATACTCTGGAATTTGCGTTATAAATACTCGAGAATTTCCGTTTAAATACTCTGACATTTCTGTTACAAATACTCGGAAAATTTCGTTAAAAATAGCCATGAATTTCAACCTCTAATTCTCGGAAATTTCCATAAAAACTCGGAAATTTCCATTGTAAATACTTGGAAAATTTCGTTTAAAATGGCCATGAATTTCCATGAACAATTCTCGGAAATTTCCATTAAAAACTCGGAAATTTCCTTTACAAATACTCGGAAAATTTCGTTATAAATAGCAATAAATTTCCATGTCAAATACTCAGAAATTTCCCTTAAAAAGATTCAGGAAATTTCATTAGAAATAATCTTGAAATTTCGTTAGAAATACTCTTGAAATTTCGTTATAAATACTCTGAAATTTTCGTTATAAATACTCTGAAATTTTCGTTATAAATACTCTGAAATTTTCGTTATAAATACTCAGTAAATTTTGTTAGAAATACCCGCGAAATTTCGTTAGAAATACCCGCGAAATTTCATTAGAAATACTCGCGAAATTTCGTTAGAAATACTCGGGAATTTCCGTTACATATACTCGGGAAATGTCGTTAGAAATACTCGGGTATTTCCGTTACCAATACTCAGAAACTTTTGTAGATTTCCTTTTTACTTTTAAACTATTTCTTTTATTTACGTTTTAATTTTAAATTTAATTTTTTTAATTCTCAGTTTTTATTTACATATTTCGAATTATCTTTTTATTTTCTATTTTTTATTTTTTAAAACTTTTTTTATTCTTATTTATTTTTACCTTTTATTTTATAATTTACTTTTGCTTTATAATTTTTTCTGGATTTATGACTAAAAAAAAAAACTGGCTCTAGATGACAGTGTTACTGGGCTTCAAGTATCTGTGACGATTTCTACTATGGAAATAAATTGAAGGCATTACATTCGGAGCTTCCTTCCTATATATTACTGAAGAAATATTAAAACCGATATAAAGAAAGAAAAGAAGAAATATTAAGAAAGAAAGAAAGAAAGAAAGAAAGAAAGAAAGAAAGAAAGAAAGAAAGAAAGATTTTAAGACATTTCCCAGTTTTCTTTTAAAGGTTTCAGCGCTGGGCCTCCATAGTTGTCCAAGATGTCCCTGACAAGGTCGTGACATGTCTTCATGAATCAAAATGAGACACCGACGAGGAAAGCGGAAACCGTCGCTTCTCGAAAATGCGCCACCGATTGTAGATGGGATTTTGAAACCGGAAGCCCTGAAAACCATCAACTGTTTTTCGATTCACTGAGACACGCACTTAGTCATTTGTAAGATACCTTGAATTTCCTGATAGATTCTCTTCCTCGAACGCTGAGGCGCTTTTTCATTTTAGCTTGAAGTTATCGTTTTATATGTCTATCTCAAAGAGCCAGCTTAGATGAAAATTGAAATAGCTGTATATGTGTTGTAGGTGTTCGGGGGTCGAGATTTGTTCAAAGGTCAAAAACCAGGATATTTAATCACTGATTTCAGGATAGACAAACCTCTCCAGTAGGCATTTTGGAAAAGAACTAATACGCTTTCCACTTTATATTGATTAGCAAATATTGAAAGGAATTTTGATTGTACTAAATTAGTCAGCCTATTTTTAAACGTGTTACAATTTTTTGAACTGATTAAATAAAAGTCTTTAAAACTTAAGTTCTTCAATTTAAAGAATCAATTAAAATACAGTTGAATCCCTGACAACTGGACTAAGAAGGCCTTTCGGAATATGAGGAATTGGTTACAAAGTCCGGATATGAGGGGTTATATTTAGATTAAAATAAAAGAACTGAAATCAGGTTTAACATTTATTTTCAATGTTTTATAGTAAACAAAATAAGCTAATGGTGAGTGAAATATAACGGAATTGATTTTAAGGAAAAAGAAATAAATTATGTAATGTTAATGAAAATTCATTAAATTAAGTATGCCACGTATGCAAAACAAATAATGTAACGAGGATTTTTAATCGCTGTTGCATGATGATTCTTTCTCTTCTAATGTCATTCTCAACTTTTTCCGCATTTCGTTTTGCTTTTGTTCTTGAAATTTTTTAAACGAAAAATGCTTTTTAACTCTGCGTGCGTTATTGCAATTGTCATAGCTGAATGCTGGCTTTCTTTCCATAAAACTGATAACCTTTTCAATAGCTTTTTCAATTTCAGTCCACGTTTCATCACAATCATGCATGTCGTCGCAATCTTGTTGCAGATGTGTCTCATTGTCATCCTTTCCTCTTATTCCCATCATCTTTTGCACCAATAGAAGCCATTAGGGTGAAATAAGTATAAACAATTATCCAAAGTAAATTTTCTAAAAAACAGAAATTTCAATTCAGTTACATATCACCCAAATAGTTCAAATATACACATCAAAATCATTTCCGGATATGCGGGATTCCGGATATGAGGCACTCCGGATATGAGGGATTCTGGATATGAGGGATTCTGGATATGAGGGACTCCGGATATGGGGGATTCTACTGTATTTCGAATTCAGGATTTGATTTTCTCCTGAATTGATTTTATTGAATGGTGTGCATGCGTGTCTCTATATGTGCATTATTTTTCAAAAGTGTACAAATGTTACTAATATAAAATAGTAAATATTAATGATATTCATCTTTATTAGATGAAGCATTATCAGACGTTACTAATTTTGGATTAGTATTTCCTTAATCTTAATTTTAATCGCTTTTCATCGAAATAAGTCCCATTAGTAAGTAAATTGCTAAAAATGCTGGGAAAACGGTTGGTTCGTTTTACGATCATACAACATTATGTAATAACCCTCTACATTGAGTAACTCTTGGGCCTTTTAGGGAGTGAATATTAGTAAACAAGTAGTAATATTATCTTTGATTTTGATTAAATGAAACATTATCAACCATATTTTGGGCTCATTTTTCTTTCATCTTAAAACTGATTGCTCTTCATAGCAGCTCCTCAGACAATTAGTCTATAGTCATCACTAGACAAGTAATAATATTATCTAATTTTTTATTAGATAAAGCATTGTTAATCATTATTAAATTTTGACTAGTATTACTTTTAAGTTATTTTATTTATTTTTTTTTTTAAGCCTTCCCCAATCAAGGCGGAAAGCCACTAGCACATGGGGGTTACAAGGATTCTTGAGGAGAGCAAATAGGAGTGATAGAGGAAAGGATAAATAGAAGGATGGGGGATAGAATCAAGGCAGGATTATGAAACGTCAATTGACATTACATTTGAATAGTTGGAGATTATAGTTATCAGGGAAATTTAAAAAGGGGATGGAGTTCTACAAAAAAGAATGTGCGAATTGATGAATTTCCAAAAGAATGTTTTGAACTTTTTTAAATTAAGGTCGTATTAAAACAAACAATGAGATGATTTTTCTATATAAATGAATTTTTGTATCTTAAATATATAAACTCGTGTCTAAGCCACCTTTATGTATAATTCAACCCCTGAATCTTTTTGTGAAAAACCTGATTTTTTTTCATATAGCTCGTATATAATGCGAACCAAACTTCTGAGCAATACTTTTAAATCATTGGGCCTGCCGTAGTCAAATATTGCAGTACTGAGCATCACCCTCGAAATATAGCATAAAGCTATCGCAAAAAATATATAAAAAAAATTGTACCTTAAAAAATACAGGATACGAAAATGCCTGACTACATGTAGTGTTTTTGTGTCCTGCCTGCTTCCTTTTAGCCTAAGTTTCTTCCTTTTGCTGTTATCTACATGAATGGATATGATTTAAAATCAACAAATAATTTTGTATAAATGAAAAATTAATAGACTTTTTGGATCTCAAACAAAAATTCATCTTCAAATTAAAAACAAAGAAAATAATCGAGGCATTAATGCATTTCCAATGAAACTTTCAAAAAAATGTATAAATTTTAAAATCCAAGTAAAATATTACCTGTGCATTACAACCGGTCAATGAAAAATGCATGATTTTTATCCAAAAGAAAAAATTACCTGTGTAGAAGTGTTGACTATTATATTTTTTCGTTAAAATTAAATTTAAAAAATTTCAAGGAATAATGTTATATATGGTATTTATTTTTGACTAATATTTCTTACATCTGAATTCTACCTAAAATTTTTCTTACGCCAGTATTAGAAATAGTGGCATTAAATTCAATTTGGATTAGATGAAGCATTGACAGATATTATTCATTTTGATGAGGATTTCTTTATTCTTTAACCATAGAACACTAACCATCAATTAAAGTTACACCACTACTAACCCTGGGTATATCATACCCGATTTTGAAAATATCAAAAAAATATTAAATATGAATCTTTATTTGAAAATATTTTACATGCAGACACTTCAAACATTTTACTTTAAAATTAATAGGAACTGAAAAACATTATTTAGGTAAGAAAATCAGGTACTGAAAATTGTAATTAAAAATATGAAAATTTGCGCTGGGTACTATATACCCCTGGTTAGTGTTCTAGGTTAATAACTTTCTTCTTTCAATTTTTCATTATCCTCAAATTTTAGATTCTTTAAACAAACTATAAAAGAATTAATTTCATAGCGAAATTTTGTTATTGCTAAGAATGATTGCATCTAAGAATGACTGCGTTTAACATTCTAAGAATGATTGCATTTATGATAAAGAAATATGACGCTTTTTACATCTGATCATGGTTTATTCACCAATAATGCGACATTAGTTTTCGAACAAAGGCTCTTTTCTATGTATTACTATAAGAGTCGCAAGGAGAGAATACAAAAAAACCATTACTGTCCATGCATAAAGGTAGACATATTATTGTAAGCATAGAATAGAGAATATTTAACAGATTTGCCAAAAAAAATAAAAAATTATTTAAAAATTTTAAAATTTTACAGAATTTGAAAATCTTTGGATGGATTAGGGAATTAGGTATGAATTAAGTATTTTAGTGATAAATCTATTGAAAGTTTTTAAATTTCAGTCCATTTTTAATTCAACTCAAATCAATAAATAAGGTCAGAGCATTAAAATCTGTGGAAAATAAGAACTAATGAAAAACGAGAATAAAAAATTTTAGTTAATTTTCAATGAAAAGGCGCAAATACCGTTAGGATGAATATGGAAATGTTTTCTAATTTTATCTAAATTGTTGATATAGCAGAATATTTCATTGACAAACAGTCTACCGCAGAAAGAAATGGCAATATACTATAAAATCTTTTTTGCCAAGTCGTAAATGGATCGATCAAAAATTATGTGCATTTTTAATGGTTTAATTGACAGATGCTTCAAAATTTTCGATCGTTTAAAAAATCATTTTGATCAATAATCATCAAATGAATTGAAGATCTTTTCAAATAAACTTTTTTTTTGACAAATCTCATTCAAAAAAATTCTTTATCGCAACTCATCATTCTCCTGTAAAAATGATATATATATATATATATATATATATATATATATATATATATATATATATATAGTAATTTTATTTTAGAATTATATTATATATAATAAAGAATAAATTTATACAAAAAGAATTAAATAGCAATGTTAATGTGATTGATTTTATATATATCCAGGAATATATATATGATATATATATATTAGATATATATATATGATATATATATATATCAGATATACATATATATCAAATATATATATATATATATATAAAGGGTACATTTGCCACCAAAATACCAATTTTGTAGTTTTTCAAAGGAAAAATTTAAGACGACTGACAACGTACTCTGATTAGTTCTTTTTATTTATTTTTTCTTGTATGTGTAAAACGTTTTCCTTTTCTGGACATGAAATATGCTAAAATTGAACGAATATTTTTACAGCCCCAGGCGTTTTCGTTTATTCTTTTACCTATTATCAAGGAATATTTTCCTTTTTAACGGAACGTATAAATTTTTAGAGTATGTATCAGTATAAGTTGTATGAATCAGAATTCTTTGAGTTTAAGCGTTAAAATTTTGCACAATCATTAGTAACTTAAAAATTGTTTAAAAAAATGTAAATATCGTTGGTCAAAGTAATCCAGTGATATATATAAATATATATATAAATATATATATATATATATATATATATATATATATAATGTGAAATTAAATACGATTAAAAAATCCATGGCAGCAAGAAGAATAATCGGGAGATCCCAATATTTTTAAAATGGAAGGGTTTTTTTTTACTGTTGTTCCCAGGTTCTTTTAACCGGTGGAAAAAAAAAAGGAACAACAGAAATTTTCAGA